CAAACCCACCAGCCACTCCTCGGAAGGAAGGTTGGGCAATCCTACTTCCGTAGTGATACTGCCTCGGAAACCCAAGGAGGGGTCGCTATGAGTCGGGGGCGACTCGATGGCAAATAACAACAACAACAACAATTACATTGTTATGAGATGTTTAGGGAACGGAGTGCCTATTCAAATGCATGATAATACTAATATAGTATAAACGTCTTTATGAATATAGCAAGAATTATATGGGGTATGGTGGTGGTGGAAGGAAAAGGTAGGAAACAGCGCAGCATGCCACCAACCTCCACACTTGACGGTCAATGAAAACCTTCTGAACTGAATCCATATGAAATCTAGTTCAAGTATAATATCTAGAGGAGAACAAAGATTGCACAAGTCTTGACTTTCACTAAATTACTGTAATCTTTAAATAAAATACGGTTTGAAAAGCATTTTTACACAAATATAAATAAGCTCAGAAGGGTAAAATATCGGCTATGGTCTATGTCACTGTTAACAGAGGTATGAAACCCTGGATGGCAGCCAAGACAAAATAGAAGCATTTGAAGAATTTTATCTTGAAACCATAGTAATGCAAATGTTTAGCACGGTAATAAGCACAATGACGATGTCTATCCTGGGGCAGCGGTCTAAAAAGGAAGCTCTGGAACAAGTTCACTAATCAAAGCACTCAAAGTACTTCTCAGGCAAACTCCTTTCAATACACGTAACACGTCTGGTAGATGATTCAAAGAAGGAACAATGAAAATTTAATGGTAAATATGAGTAACAAAATAATTAAAGTGTAACTCTATTGCCTTCTAGCTATGAATTCTCTTCTTTCCCAGCTGACTAAGGAAATCTAATCTGAAAATGATTCCTTAAATTTCTTTTAGAAGATGACACTCTAACTGAAAAAAAAGGGGGGGTTATACTGATAATAAATATATTGCCTCCTTTTCTATCATTCCTCCTTTCCATCACCTTCCAATCAATTTGTAAGCGGTGCCTGTCTATGCAGGTCTACCATCAGGGCTCTGAGTGCCAGGCTACTCCAAGCATGGGCTATGAATGTGTGCCCCCCGCCATGTGTTGTTCCAAGTCATGGAAGAGATTGATTTAAGATCCTAGATCCAAGCGAGTTTATTGCCCTTCCTTCCTTTTCCCAGGAGCAATCTGTCTTTGCTCAGCTGCTGGTGGAGGGAAGGAGGATTTTCTAACCCCTTCCAAAGGCAGAGGGTTTCGCTTACACCCTTTCCCCAGGAGTCCTGGACATGAGACAGTATTTTGCCCTGTCCCCAGAGATTTAAAGTTTTTGCTACATCTGACAGGAGTGTCTGGGGAAATGGGCACTGTTTCATGTTTATTTCCTAGAAGCAGTTTGACTCCTCGTGCCTGCACGACTGATGAGAGCAGAGAACTGCTCCTTGAGTTTTCTGCCTGACCCAACTGTCCTTGTGAGCATATTATGGAGGCCCCTGAAGACGACCCTGCGGGTGACCGAGAACTCCCCCTATGTTTGGGGCTCCCAGTTACTCTAAACTGATATGCTAGTCCATATATGGATTTTAGGAAATTAACACAGTTTCTTCCCATCTGCTTCTATGGCTGCTGCCTCTTCTCCTAGGCTCTATATCAAAGGTGCAACAAGCTGTGGGCCTTGTCTCTCCCTGGAGGGACTTGTCACACTTTGGAATTAAGTTCCTCTGTTTGCCTTGTGACCTCAGCTCTCTGATCAGTTCACGGAAAGATAGATTTTTGTGGGTTATCTGGACTTTTTCCTCAGGATGGGAGTGGCATGTTTTTACAATTTTCTACGTATTAAGTGGAAGCAGAACTCAGGCTGATATTTTGTATGTCTTTGTTTTCTTTTATTTCACTTTTTTAGTAATTCATTTTTACTGTATCATATAGAAACAATGCTCTGTGATGAACTGAAAAAACAGCAAAAACTGGTCCTTTACCACAAACAGTGTGAGAAGCACTATTCAAACACATATAGCAGTGATGAGGAGATTGTCCAACCTCTGGGTGCCGTAAGTAAACCATTCCACTACAAAATGTTTCTTTTGGAACTTGTGATGTACTTGGAAATAAAACAAAAAGTTCAAACTAATTCACACTCAGCTGGGGTTGAGGCAGGAGTGGTGGTAAATGAAATATTTTTATTTTGAAGGATTTATTCTGAAACCTATCATATAGCACTGCTAATTTTCTCCCTTTCTAAAATAATTCATAGTATCTGTCCAGTTTTCCCTGACGTAAAGGTTAATTATTTAGGCATCTTGAAAATGTCCCAGGTTTCCTAGAAAAGGCAAATCAAAATAAATTGTAGATTCTCCTAATCACAAAGATGCTAACTAAATGGAGATACAATGAGAAGAGCAAGTAGCCTTTGAAAAGACTTAGTAAACTATACTTCTAATTTCTCTTGCTAAAGAGTTTTAGAAGTAATAATTATTTTCAAGTATGCTCTCTTATAACACTTTTATTAATGAACTTAGCACTTGCTGCAGTTTTGGTCTATCCTTCTCAATAAAATAGTAAATATTTCAAGGACAATGCTTTAGCACAGTGTCTAGCACACTGCCTGGCACATAGCAGGTTCTAAATGAATTAATCTGATAGTAGCTCTGCCTAGTTCTTGTATCCTTTTCCTGTGGGCTATATCCTGCTAGTGGATATCCTAGAGTGTACAATGAGATCTTAACAAAGAATCAATATGCACCAGTATACACAACACTGTCTACTTGGCTCCGAAGTACGCACTACTGTCTGAAGTCACCTGGTGGCAGCCCTAGCTGCCTGGTCACTTAGCCCCACATCTATAACAGCAGCATTAGGGCAGAGATCATTTTGGCCTTATCCTTTGTGTCAATGATGGGGTAAAGTGCCTGTTGGCCAACCTTGCAGCCAAGTAAATTTCCTCTAACTGTCTCAGGGCCTGGGTGAGTGGATTACTGTCTGAATGTGGAATATTCTGCCTTCCCACTGGTACATAGACAGGGAGTCACATAGCTCAATTCTGAACCCCCAACCCTGTTGAATCACAGCAGGTACTTCACCTTATGCTAATATGTATTATTATGTAGTTTTCATATGTTATGCTCAGCCTTTCATTAGGTTGTATAAACAGACTGTCATTGAAAGGAGAAAGTTTTTTTTTTTTTTTTTTTTGAATTCTAACATAGTAAAAAAAACACCAAAAACAATAATTATTGAATGAAAGACAGTGATTTGAATCCTGCATTGAAAACCCTTCAAGAGTACCCTTCAAGTACTCATTCAACCTACATTTATACTTTTTCTTTTTCCCAACAGCCCATTTTTACTTCCCCATGCATCTCTATAGTCCAATGAGGGAAAAGTGTAACATGTATCTTGAAGGGTGATAGCTGATAATTCCTAAGACTACCAAATACACCTACCAAGGTTCATGTTTTTCCCTAACCATATATTAAATAATCTTACTATTCCCACAGATTAAAACAAAACAACTCTTACCCAGCCTTGGCAACACTTATGGTTTGCTGCTCCATTGCTTCGTGGATACTGGTTCTATCATGCTCCTTGAGGCTATTAAACTCATCGATACAGCAAAGACCCGAATCTGCAAGTACTAATGCTCCAGCCTCCAAATTCCATTCTCCTGAATCTTTCACAGCAGTTACTGTCAGACCTGAGGAAACAAGTAGGTTACATTCACTTTTATTTTCAAAAGCCTATCTCCTATCTCTGAAGGGATGGTATGCCTGTATTTTAAAGAAAAGGACAAAGAGTCAAGGCTTCTATTTCCTCTCTACCAATAATGAATGGCATCAGAACAATTCTCTCAGGTATCCAGTCATAGGAAGGCCTCAGAAGCTCCCTTGTGCTGAAAAGATGGGTTATAGAATATTTTGTGGCAACCAGAATTCTCCCTATTTTTGGTCTCTCCTTCATAGCTGCCCTATCTAAATGGTTTAAACTTTTGAAAGGAGCAAACATATCTCTGGAGACCTTATAACAAGAGGTTCTGTACTATATGCTGATTACAGAGAAAAGTCCAACAACCTTTATAGTATTATAGCCCAAGGATGAAAATGAAAAATTTGCTCCCAGTCACAGTATGAGGGAGGGGATTCCCTTCACATGTCTTGGCTGATTTTGATTTGTCCATTATACCAGCCAATAAAACAGAGTGCAAAAGCAAGGCTTTGGAGTCAGTCAGAGTTGGGTTTGAATCCTGGATCTATCATTCTCGCTGTTAGACTGTAGGCAAGTTTCCTAACATCCTCAGTTTATTCATTTGTAGAAGGGTATGACAATAGGAAATACAGATTTTGGGGTATTCAAATAAAATGATGCTTATAAAGCTTTTTAAAGTATATGAAACATAACGAGTACTTATAACACCTATAATTGATAAACCTCTAGCTAGAAAGACCAAGAAAAAAAGGAAAAGGCAAAAATTACAAATATCAAGAAATGAAAGAGAGGGGCCATCACCACGGACTCTGTAGCTATTGAACCAAAAAATAAGGGGATACTACAAATAACTTTATGCCATAAAGTCAACAATTCAGATAAAACAGTACAATGATTTGAAATACACAAATACACAAATTGTTTTTATTGCTGTTACATGCCATGGAGTCCGACTGACTCATAGCGACCCCTCCTTGGGTTTCTGAGGCATTATCACTAAGAAAGTAGATTGCCCAACCTTCCTTCCGAGGAGTGGCTGGTGGGTTTGAACTGCCAGCCTTCTGGTTAGCAGTCAAGTGCCTTAGGCACTATGCTACCAGAGCTCTCAATATAAAACTTAGCCAAACCAAAACCAAAACCAAACTCACTGCCATCAAGTTGGGTCCGACTCATAGCGACCCCTCCTTGGGTTTCTGAAGCGGTATCACTATGGAAGTAAATTGCCCAACCTTCCTTCCAGGGAGTAGCTGATGAATTTGAACCACCAGCCTCCTGGTTAGCAGTCAAATGCCTTAGGCACTACGCCACCAGAGCTTCCCAAATTAGCCACGGTTCACCTAAAAAGGAATACACGACTTGCATTATCCTTTATCTATTTTGAAAATCAAATCTGTAGTTAAAAACCTTCCAAACAGAAACCTCCAGGCCAAGATGGATTCATTAGGAATCTTATGGGAAATATATATATTTATGGAATATCTATGGAAAAAATAGTATCAATTCTATGCAAAATTTTCAAAAACATATTTAAAAAAAAAACAACAGGGAACACTTTTCAGGTAATTGAATGAAACCAGCATTGCCATAATACCCCATCGAGATAAAGACACATTAAAAGAAAACTACAGACCGATATCCCTCATAAGTATAAATGCAAAAATCCTTAACAAAACACAAATAAATCAAATCCAACAATATATAAAAAGGATAACATATCACGACCAAGTGGGGTTCTGTCTGAGAATGCAAGGATAAATCAACTTTCAAAATTAATAAGGGTAATTCACCATATCAACAGACTGTATTAGAAAAAAAAAAA